TAGAAAAAAATTTAAAAAATGGGAAAAGAAAGATAAGTTTTCAAAAGAGTATAATTTAACCATTAGGAACAGTACGAATTTGCTAGAGTATAACTGTCTAGAAAATGTAATTTTTGGCTGTTTTTTATTTGATTATATCCAATAAACCTGTTATCTTTATTGGTAGTTGTTAACTGTCGTAAGAAAGAAGCTGTCATATAGCAGTTTTACCTTTTCCGAAATTATTAGAATTGTACCATCACAGAACATGATGTGCAGCAAAGGAACACCAAAAATGATAAACTTTTAGTTTACTTGTAAAAATATATCATAGTTTTTGCACTTTTGAGCTTCCGTTTGATTAATCAACAAAAGCGCAGAAGAAGCGGTACGTTTTTTAAATATTTTTACCTTGCCTCAACACTTATTTCTGCTCTTATGGGGTTAAAGCTGGGTTAAACTTTTGAAAGATTTTTATCTAGTTTTGTTTCCGGTGATCTTTAATCCGAATATCAATAAGATTGAAATTATTCATTGCTTATTTTTTTCATAAAAGTTTGTTGCAAAATTGACTATAAAATTAAACTACAAGTTTTTTTAAATCTTTGATTTAGCAGTCAAAAAAGCAGATCAGTCATCGTAGTAAAGAAAGATAAAAACCGTTTGGATTATATCGGTAGTGCCATCAATCGTAAACTACAGAAAATTCTTCTCGAAAAATTAAGTAATTAATAGACGTAAAGGGTAACATAAAACTAAACAACACTTGTTTCTTCTTTTTCTTCTTTTACGTTTCGAAAGGTACTCTTAAAAACGTTGTGCAATGAATAGGTCATAAATTTTTAAATAAATGCTTTTTTTGTTCTAAATAGCCTTTTTTTTCCCATCTTTCTAATTACTTATTTGAAACTTTAAGCGACTTATCTTAAGCTCAAATATATTGGTCAGATCTTAAGATGGAATAGCAAATTAAATTAAGCTTTTGAATAATAACACCATAGTTACTCTGGCCCTTTAAAAACGCAATTTTTATTTTTAGACTATTGTCATTGAAATTCTATAGAACTAAATTAATATTGCAAATAAATGAGGCAATTTGAAAAGGGTTGTCGTAATTATCAATTTTAACCGACTAATCTTCTCCGTTTACCAAAATTATTTGGTTTAATTTACACCTCTTTTAACTTTTTGTTTTTGTCTTTTTTTTTGCCCCTCTCTATTGCCTGCGCCGTCTCGTCTATTTTACAGCGGTATATATATGAAAACGTTGCTGCTAAATTATTATGCAAAAAAGAAAAACGGCTTTTTAAATTTTATTTCTATAGATAGCATTGGATAAAGTTAAATTTTTTTTTTTTTGCACAAATTTCGTCATCATAAAACGTTTGTTTCTTTTCTCATCTTTTTTCCACAAAGCATGCTGAATGTCCGATGAAACAGTGTTAACAGATGAGCAGTTTTAAAAAATTTCAATTTTCTTCTCTTAACATACCGCCTTAAAGGAATTCTGCGAAATTGCTGAAAAGCTGGTGGATGCTGCTCATGCATATAAAAACAAGGGTTCGCGTGATTATTTGCAAAATTGTCAGACAGAATAATGCTTTTTTCTTATAGCTTTCCCAATTTCAGCGTTGCATTGAGGGCGATAGACAAGTGAAGAAATGAAAATTTGCTGGACTGTAAAATGCTGCAAACTTCATTGGCTGTCTGTTTAATAGACTGATTTCTGTCAACTAAGTGCAAAAAAACATGTTGGGTCAATTTCTTTTTTCCTCATCCCATCTTCTTTTGTCATCTAATGTTTTCTCAGCTTTTATTCTTATCAATCAGTATATTTTTTTTGTCCTGATTAGTTTAGCAAAGAAAAGCTAAACGAGAATAGCCAGTTTTTTCCTCTTTAAAAATTCTAGTATGTCAAAACATCTTTTGTCGTTTTGCTTATCTGTTAAACAACTCGATTTCGTATAAATCAAATAATATTTGCAGAAGAAGAAAATGGCATAACTTTGTTTTTGAAGAAAAACGATGAAAAAGTTAGTTTTAGTTACAAAGGCAAAACGGAATGAAACAAAACGAATTATGCGTAACAAGGCTCTTCAGCTGTTTCTTTTCTTTTTTTCTACAACAGCCATGAAATGTCTTAAGACTTTTTTCATTCAAATGTCTGTAGAAGTCATCAAAACATTTTATGGTGTTGTTAGAGATGTTTGCACAAAACTATTGTTTTTCCAATTTCAACGCCTTGCATAATTCAGCAAAACAGTGCTTTCGTCGTCTGCCCACATTTTTTCAGCTGTTATCCCGGCTTTTTTCTCAAATTACCCGTCTTTTTCACACATATCTTAAAAAAAAATGTTTTTGAGCGCTTAAGAAACGACAATGACGTCAATAAATGTTATCACCATATAGTAGAAAAACGAGAGGAATAAAAGTTTTCGACTATCGCATTTATTATTTTGATGTTATTGCACCAAACTTCTGATTTACACTCTCAGTTACATAACCTTTCGTTTATCTTTTTTTATCTTACAAAATCTTGAAAAAGTCGCATAAGAATTTTTTTTTTGATTGTTTTGGTTTTGCAATTTGAATACAAGTTTTCAAGAGTTTTTCGAACACTGATAACTAGGCAGCAATAAAAGGTAAAACGACTTCTGTTAGCTCGATGTAATTAAATTAAAACTGTTAATGTAAAAAACAGATAATTTTTGCTAAAATCTTAAGGTTTTTTGGAAAGATCACCTGCAGTTGCTGTATTGGACCCACCGGATGGAAGGGTCAATTCTGGCGACGGTACCACAAAAAGTTGTGCAACAATACCAGAAGACGATGAAACAGCTTATACACCAACAGAAGCAGTAAGAGTAGATGGCGATTTAATTTCTATTGATCGGGTAAACATTGTGGACCAAGAATGCGCATTATTTCACACAGTCAACATAACTTTCCAGCAAAACGGATTAGATCTAGTTATATCAATCTGTTCAACAACTTTTTTAGACATCTGCATCATGCATGGAAACCCGAACAAATCGATACTATTCTAGGACAGCAATACCAATGCCGACTGCAACGCCAGCATTTGAGGTAACTTCCTGTGTAGTAAAGATTAACAAAAACATCAATTATCACTAAACTTAGATCTATTTTTTTTCAAATTTACTGTTTATCAATTCTGAAATTTTTAAATATGGTACGTTACATTTTAGATACCAACACCTCTGTATGCTCCACCGCCACCACCAGATAGATTTCGACCAATGTTATTTGTTAGATCACCAAAAAGTATCCTTTTTTTGTTTATACATCAATTTTTTTAGATTAATCGTTTAAAAAGTGAAATCAGTGGAAGATGTTTCATAAACTGTTTGCCGTTTCTTTAACGGTTCGTTTGTAAGAGGAAAAATAATCAAGAACAACGCAGTGTAAGGTAAAGCTAGAAGCTAGAAGTCAGAAGCCAGAAAAGTTTGCAAGATGCTTGTTACAAGTTTGAAAACAAAAATTTTTTGCCTGATTACAGATTTTACTCGACGAGACTTTCATCCAGTCGACACTAATCCCATCATCAACAACAATAATGATATTAGTAATAATTATTCAAATATGAGGAAAAGTTCAACCTGTGATTCAATCACCTCTTTTAGCAGGTATTTCTAATAAACATCTACTGTACACATTCAAAGAGCACTAACGAAAGAAACAACTGTTTGGTTGTTTTTGTCTTAGACTTTGTCAATTTTTAATGAACCTTATAACGTCCTACAACAGTTTCAAATACAAGAAACTTTGCTTGCAATATGTTTTACGAAAAATTTGGCTATAATGTCAGAAGCTATCCAACAAATTTAAATGTACTCTGTAAAGCATCCATTTCTTTTGTCAATTGTCTAAACAATTCCTGCGCCTACACTAACTTTAATCCTTATCAATTATTTGTATATAAGTCTTGTTCTACTTACTCGTTTCTGTGTAGTCGTACTTAAATTTTCTTTGCAAATAATTATGACTCTAGTCAGTGGTAGATTGCTTTGCTTTTGTTGTTATATATTACTAACTACTATTTAGTCTTATGTAAGTGTAGATAAAATTACTTGTTTACTTTGGTTATATTGTGGCACAAAAGTAAGTCGGAAATGCAAATGTCTAATAGACAAGCAGATTGAAAAAGTCAGTCAACAAAAGAAGATAGAAAAATTTCTTGACAATTAAATTTTGCAGTCCTGATGAATCGTCGTATGGTACCAATTCACCACTTGATACTAGTAACTCAATTAGTGACAATGTCTATTTCCCAGCAGACGCCGATTTTGAGACCGAAACTAAACCAAAATTTGTTGAAGAAGGTTAGCATGTTTTTTTATTTTTTTTTTTGACATTTTTTTTTTGTTTTTTATTTATAACTTTTTTTGCTTATCTGAATTTTTCACTTAGGTTAACGTTAGTTTAAAGGAAGAGAAACAGAAAGAAAAAATATATCATTTGACCAAAAATAATAGCTATAAAATTTTCGCATATATCAGTCAATCTATTGAGCATCTAGTATTAATTCAAATGAAAAAACTTTTCCTAGATAAACGTCACTTGTTCATCTTTCTTTTATTTTTTTTTTTGACAAATTTGGTAGTGTTTGATAAGATGAATAGTCATTTATTGTTCCTGTTGCTTCACTTATACATCGTCTTATTTTCATTCTTCTTGTACTTACTTTTTATCCTTAAAATATTTTGCAAATATGGTATATAACTGAATTTTTTTATTACTCTTTTATTTTTTCTTCTTTTGATTACTTTTTTTTGTTAGATACATGGCGGTTTTTATGGTACTTATCGTTGTATTTTCCTCTTTTTTTCAGACGACTGTTGCTGCTTTTAATAAGGTTACTTATCCCGTTATGACAAAATGACTGATTTTATATTTTCTATTTTTTTCCGGCTACGGCAGTCATTTGAGTGAGAAAGTTCGTGAAATTTGGGGGAAAAACTGAATTGTGAAAGATTGACACATGATAGATGATGAATCAATGCATAAGTGTTTGATGCATTTTTAAGTTTTGCACTCTTGAAGTTCAACTAGTTGAGTGCTTCTTATCGGTAGATTTGAATGCACTTTGTCTATAATAATTTTAAAATTTTTATGAATTTTTTAAAATTTTTAACAGCATATACTTGCAAAAACAAAGAAAAGTTAGAGAGTGGAACAGATCACGGCGGTTACATTTAAAGCGACAATAATTTTTGATAGTTCTCTTCATAAACTGAATATTTTTATTTAGCAAAAGTAAATTAATATTTAAATGTAAATTTTCTACAAAATTCATTTTTGCTCAATTTTATGTTTTTGGTTCGCAAACGAAAAATGTTGAAGAACTCTTTTTTGTCTTACTTATTCTTTCTTCTTCTACAACAAGATAACATATGTTTATCAGTGTTTCTCAGATTATCAACAAAATAATTTTTGAAATTAACGCATCAAATTTATTTATGAATCGTACGACTGCTATTTACACTTTATTTTCTTCACTTTTAAAGTTCTTGATATTTTACTAAGTCCAATAAGTTTTTTTTGAGAACTTTTGATCTCTGACTATTTGTCATACGCAATAAACTTTTGTAGTTTTCATAGTTATTAGTCACCTATTGTGGTTAAAAAATTACCGGTTTTTTAAGCAGTACATTTTAGAAAAATTGTTCAATTAAATAAGCCGCTTGAAAGTGTTGACGTCGGTGTTTATCGAGACTAACACGTGTAGCTTTTTGAACCTTAAACTAGCCTAATAATATCAAATCGTGGACTAGGGATAATAATATAATGAAGCAGATAATAAGTGGTTGTAGTGCTGATTAGACGATTTGCAGTTACGTTTTGTTAAATTTTAAATATTTTTAATTGTAATAAAAGGTGTATTTTTTTTAGTTTAGGAAATTTTTCTGTAAATTTACAGATTTGACACAAGTTTTCTTTAACAGTTGTCAAGAAACTAATTTTTATTTTATAAATGTAAGTAGCACTGACTGATGACTGTCGTTACAACATTGGCGGCAATAAACAATGACCAATAACTTTTAAAGTTGTTAGTTTAGAAGAGAAAAATGAGACACATTTTTTTGATATATTATTTGTAGTATCAATTGCATCAGTTTCACTTTATTTTTATAACCTTTTATCAATTTATTGGTTCAACTGAAAGTAGATAACAAAAACCGGAAAAAACTCTTAAAAGATGAAGAAGCGGCTTTTTAGTTTCATTTTTCGTGCAAACTGAAACATTTGCAGTTCTTCAAAACACTTATGAAGGTTTAAGATGAAAAAATAATGAAGTATTGTTGTTGTCTAAAATATAGCGTATAGCTTAGAGAAGAGCCGACGGTGATGAAAGGAGAGTAGTGTAGTCAGGAATTTTGGTGCTTGGTTGTCCTAAGATCCCTATGAAGCGCTAAAGGGTAGATTTTGGTCGTTCGTTAAGGAAACCGTACAAAGCCTTGATAGCAGTTAACATTACAGTTTGTTGTTAGTAGAAAAAGAAGAAGAAAACTAAACTCAAATTAAAATTATTTGAAAAAAGAAGAACAAAATTTTTAACTTTGTTTTGCTCCACATTTAGTTATCATTTGTGCTACACGTAAGCGAATGTAAAATCTTAATTCAGTTTCCAGGTGAAAAATATAACGTATGTGATAACAATTATATCAGCAATGGTATTACAGAAACGCAAATGCCCAGCAAATATTTATTGGACAGGTTAAGTCAACATTTTAATCTTCGTTTTTTTCGTTTTTTTATTCATTTATTGTTTTTTTTTTTGCACGCTTACTCATCGTAGTTCAACATTTTCTGCAGGTTTTACCATTTTTCATAATCCTCAAGTTTTATGTATTTAACACTTAGACTATTGTAGGCTATTATAATTTCACTAGAATTGTACTACAATTTTAAATTATTTTACTGAATTAACTTGGTGCTAATTATGCAGATAATTACATATGTCTTTTTTTTGCGTCATTTTGATCTGCTTTCTAATAACAACGATCAAAGTTACTTTGAGTGTTAAAACAATATCAGATTGTATATGTCAACTGATCAGTGTGAGGTATAGAAGCAGAAAGAAAGATGAGGGAAGAAATAAATAGTGAACATTGCTTTTTTAATTCTTGAACTATGCTTACAGAATAGAGGAAGAATCTGAACATAACATTGATGACCGAGAGTGTACAGTAGAAAATAAAGCTGTAGAAACGACCAGTTCACTTTTTTATCGTGGAGACTTTATGGACTCTGAGCAGAACATTCTTTTTCCACGTTCAGTATCTCAACAGGTACAATTATTTAGATAATCTGTTTGATTGCTTTTCGTTCAACAATTCTTTCTTCTTTGCTTTCACGTCAACTGTCTCGTTTTCAATTTCTAAAAATAAACAGTAAAAAAAAGTAGAATAAAAAATGTCAATTTTGTCAGCAGAAGGAAAAAAGAAGAAAAAAATAGAAGAAAAAGATTTTTGTCATTTTAACCAATTTTTCAGTTCGAATTTCTAAATCGCTCAAGTTGATGATTACTGAATCTGCAGTCAATATTGGTTGGTTGCCTGGTGTCCTTTTTTTTTTTTTCTTTTGCCAATGATGAACAGCATGTTTATTGTACTTGAAAAATTGATCCTTATTTGGATTATACATTAAAGCATTTTTTTTTGTTTATTTTTTTTTTTGGATATTTGTTGTTAAATGTTCATTTTGCTTTGTAACAATAAAATAAAATAAAAATTACAAAAACACTGTTGCCTCTGAAGTGTAACAGTAAATTGTTCATACATTTGCGATCAGTTATTCAATCAAACAATTTGCAGTCTTCGATGCCAGTTATGCTTGCTGAAGCATCCAATTACTTTGCACAGAAATACAAATAATTACAATATATTTTAAATAAATATATATTTTATCTATACCTTAATTAAGGTATCAGATGTAAAGCGTCAAAAGAAGTAGTAAAAAAGAAAATGTAGCAAAGCAATTCTTATAAGAACTTCACTTTTTTGAAACGTTTGACTATGATTGATTTTATAAGTCGATAAATTGTTCAACCAAATGAATTTGGGAAAAAGACGGTGAATTGAGTAAAATTAGCACAAACATTATTTTTTTTTTT